CCCCGGAATATTAGCCAGCAAGCGACTGAGGACTCGATGATCTATGGAGTCAAAAGCCTTGCTGAAATCAACCAACACCAGCAGGGTCCGATGGGGTCTGTAGTGGAGTTGATTGCCAATACCGCTCTTCTTGGGAAGGCTCACTTGGAAATAGTGATTTCTATTATGCTCCACTTCGTGTATCAGGTGTGCCAGCTGCATCGTCGTGGTACGCATACTACGATATGCATACTGGTGGGGGTGTGGCGTCCACACCCATAGCAATCTCTTCAGTACCATTTTCTCAGCAACCTTACTCACAATGGAAGTAAGGCTGATGGGTCGATATGACTCAAGCAGTTCCGGCGACTTACCGGGGTTTAAGAGTGGAACGATGGTAGCGCGTCTCCACTCAACCGGAATCTTACCGGTCGTCCAACTGTGGTTAATGCAACGAAGAAGGAATCGGAGGCCCTTTGACGAAATATGTCGCAGTGCCTCACTGTAGACTTCATCCGGTCCGGGGGCCTTGCCATACGGCGCATTACGTAGCGCAGCAAGCAGTTCCGTACGATTAAAAGGTGCATCAAGAGGGGAGTGAAGATGAGCAAATAAACCAGATGTGGTGGCAGCTTCGTTTTTATCCTGTGGCTCAGAACTAGATGAGAGTGAAGAACCTGAAGTAGATGTAGCGGCAGACTCGCTGTTGTTCTGCTGCCCAAAAAGAGAAGAAGCATTAATGTTCAAAGATGCACTCTGTCTGTTGATGCCTTTGGAAAACCTAACTGCCTTGTGAGAGGGGTGAAATGGAAGAAAGATGCGATTGAGAGCATTCGCTGCTCTCCTTGCTGTTTTATAAGTGTGTTGACCATCTCCTAATAACATTGATGTGGGAGATGGAAGTGATGCCTTTTTCCGTCCGGAAATGTATTTCCATGCGAGTGGCTCGCCTGGATTTAACTTGCTGATGCGGCGTAGATACGTGTTGCGCAAGCGCTCTCGGAGTAGAAGGAAGAATTGACTCCTTGTCCGTTGCATTTCTGCCTCACGGTCGGGCGTCGGTGACTGTAGATAGCCGGCCTTGCTGTCCGTAGCAATCCG